TGCCGAGCTTAGAAGCTAGAGAAGGCGTGGCCTTTATGTACTCTATGAGGACCTTCTCGTCCAGCGGTCGGAACTCGGAGAAGGCCATGGTGCAGCGGCAGCGGCGATGGAGCTGAGTGGAGTGTCTTTTTTGTAGGGTTTTAATAAAAAAGTGAGGGTGAAAAAGTTTGAAAAGCCGTCTGAATAATAACGTTGGAATTGGAGTGCTGATTTTTTTTTTTTTTTTGGTTTTTTTTTTTAAATAGGTAAAGTAACTAAAAATTAAACCTATTTCAAAAGTTAAAAATCATTAAAAATTGAGTTTATTTCAAAAAGTAGTTTATAAAATTGGATCTATTTTAAATTATTCTTTTTTTTTTTGGCAAACTAATTGGAGTTCAATTTTGCCCACTATCAAATGACGATGTTTATTTTAACTCTATTTATTAAATAATTTAAATTTTCAAATTTGTGTTTATTAATTATACAAATTTTGAAATTCAAATTATCTAAATAAAATTGTAAGCATACTATAGTGGATTGTGGTAAGCAAAATTGCTTATTTGGAATATGAATGGTTTGAGAGAATTTGTGGACTTTTATGCGCCGGAAATAGGAAAGGAAAGATGGAAATTGTGTATGGATTGGTGCAATGAATCTGGTCCGTTTGTGGGTTTTCTCATTGGTTGAATTGGGATGTGGCGTGAGTGGGACCGGATGCAATGAATCTGGTCCGTTTGTGGGTTTTCTCATTGGTTGAATTGGGATGTGGCGTGAGTGGGACCGGATTCTCCAAACTGAAACAGACTCTTTAAGTAAAGGAATCCTTATGTTTTATGAAAATAGAGATTAGTTGTAGGGTCTACACTACATTAAACTTTGACAATTTGAATTATTTATTTTTTAAGTTACATCTCATCTTGCAAAATATTAGCTAAATCGTAAATGTTCAAGACATCTAATTGAGTTTAAAGAAATTAACGAATACATTTTTATATGAAATAAAAATTTTATCTTGACAGATAAATAGACAAACGGTTTCGTATTGGATTGAATTTTTGCAAGGATGATATATAAATCGAGACTTATTAAATAAACGATTCGGATCGTTAAAGTTCAATGTGGAGTAGGCTTTACACCTAATCCCAATTTTTTGAAAAAAGAGGATCCCTTTGCATAAAGGGGCCCTAACAAAACCTTTGCCATAACCTCAGTTATAATATTATGGGAAGGCTTTTTAACCAAACCAGTTTCTGAGATTTGCATAACTTTTCATTTTGGTTTTTAAGATTTGAAATCAATATAAGTGTTCCCTGGGATTATTCACCATCAATCATTTTAGTCCTTGGGTGGAAAATTATGTTAAATAAGGATCAAAATGACAAAATTACCCTTAATTTAATAAACAACATGCCAAAATGATTGGACACAAATTGAGGATATTTTTGTCATTTTACCCTTTTTTTTATGGACAAACTCAGGGACCAATTTATTGATTTTAAATCTTATGGACCAAAGTGAGGAGTTATGCAAATCTCTTGAATTTTTTTTTGCTAAAAAGCCTAATAGGAATAGATCAAACACGTATAAAATGTGTAAAGTTTGACCCGTCCATAATTAAATTAACGAATTTGATACTTATTTGGGTAATCGGATCTGATTTTTAGATCCATATTCGATTAGCACCAAATTCGGATCAAATCAGAACCTTATCAAATTTAATTTAAAACCTAAAAAAGATTAAAATATCATTAGTAACTTCATTCTTTTACTATATGTTCCTTTTAATTAAAATTTTCGCGTTAAATAATAAAAAATAGGATATAAGTGTATTTTTTATTGCATAAAAACCTAAACCACCATTACACAAAAGTATAAAAAAAATATAAATAAATTAATAATATGTTATATTTAGTCAGATTGGATCAGCCTCGATCCATATTTGGATCCATTTATAAATGAATTATCGGATTCAGATCTATTCAGATAATCTGATTGGAAGTCACGATCGAAATACTATTAATTACACTGAATGCCAATTGGATTTTGAATTCGATCCTGGTCAAATTTGATCAATTCACAAATCTAGTTGGATGTCTTTCCCATTATTGAAATATGTAAGTTCCAATATCTCATTTTCTTCTACGAAAAGGGAGGGAGATGATCATTTGAACAATGTCTCAATCCCTTATTCTCACTTTCAAAAGGTCATTTCTCGTAATTTGATAATACGAACATAAATACTTTAATCTGAACACCTCCCTATTCATACTACGATGGCAATACTTGACTACATTAGTAAAAACAATAAAGATTCAGAGTTTTTTTTTTAAGCATATGTGAATCTCTCCAAAGAATCCTTACAAAGCAATTGGCTCATGATTTTGCTGTCAATTTGAACAAGAGGAGGAAAATAGCGGGGCAAGTTCAAAAAGTAGTGGGTAGAGTTAGCTCTCTCTTGGCTGTGACTTCCCTTTTATACCCACTCAAAGTTGACGTAATTTAAATTAGAGAACTTTAACGAAAAGCTCCATGTACTATTCACTTTAACGAAAAATTACATTTTTAAACTAAAAAGTCAATCTTATTACTATTCACTTTACCTTTTATTTTGTCCTTGTCGTTAAAACTCAAAGTTTTTAAGTCTTTTTCATTAGTTTTCCTTTTAAACTATACCATCTTCCCTTGCCTCCAATTATTAGTGGGCTAATTGCCCATTTTGTTTAAGTTGTCAAACAACCTAGACTTAATGGGCCTGATTGTCACATCCCGATCCGGGGCGGATCACTTCCCGGACCCGCTTCCACTACCGTAGCACGATATTGTCCGCTTTGGGCTTACCATTCCCTCACGGTTTTGTTTTTGGGAACTCACGAGCAACTTCCCAGAGGGTCACCCATCTTGGGAATGCTCTAGCCCTCTTCTCACTTAACTTCGGAGTTCCTACGGAACCCGAAGCCAGTGAGCTCCCAAAAGGTCTCGTGCTAGGTAGGGATGGGAATATACATTTAAGGATCACTTCCCTGGGCGATGTGGGATGTCACACTGATGGACCAAATTTCATTAGCCCTCGAAAAATCTAAAACTAAATTAAATCATATTACAAAATTAATCGTATGATTAATCAACAATTTAATTAATCTTGACTATGCTTATTTAAACTATTTAATTGATCTTATCCATCTCATTTATATTTCTTTATACTCATCTTAAGTGGTGTACGATCCATTAGATTCTAATTAGCAAGGCAGTGAGTTATTGTAACTCTTTCTAATCGATTGTGAATTGAAACTTATTTCAATTCTCCCTATGATGAAGATTAGTGGTTGCTAATCCTCAAAGATTTCAAAAACCATGAGTGACATCTAGCAGTATATCATGACTACCCAAGCTAAGTAGAAGTGGTTGAAGAACCTATTCAGTTACAACTACAATGCAATACAGTCATTCTCTAAGTCAATACTCTTGACCACATTGTTTTGTTGAAAGTTTATTTCATGTCTACTATCCAATGTGATACTTTTCTATATGATTCTAGTGAATATGATTTCGAAAATTCTCCTGAGGCTATATTCATATGATTTGGCCAAAGACTCTCGAACCATATCTTAGAGTATTCTTCTTCTACCATGGAAGGTTAGAGATCCTTTGTTGTACACTCACATATCTCTATGAATAAATTAATGACCCCTACATTGTTTAGAAAATGGCCAAGATGAGGCATGTATTTTGATACATTGTCAATGATAAAGACGTACCCACAAGGCATCTCTAGTGCCTCAAGTTTGGATTAATTTGCAACCAATGAGTTCTTACAGAACATCTATGTCAAAACTCTTTGTTAATCCTTGCTCAAGGTAATCAACAACCTTTGGAGCAACTATGTGTTTGTCTTAGTGTCTAACACTAATGACTTTGAGACTAGTCATACTACCGAATAAGTTCAGATAACACGTACTAACCTTAGCGGACTATCAATGCCCAATTGACAATCCTATGGCTAGGAACGTTTTAGGAATGAATATAATAGAAGGTCGTTGATCTAACACTTAGATCATTTCTCTTTTAGGTTGATTACATTATTAGGATTATGTTAGGGATTTAAACCCATAATACATTAAATAGTGATTGACAATAAACATTGTCTTTCCATTAAACTAAATAAGAGTTTAACAAAATAAGTATTCCAAAAGCTATTACATCAAATGAATGGCTTTAAGCATACTTTTAACGCTTAAGGTGGAGGCTCACAATGAGGGAAGGCTTGGTTTTGACAACGACGAGGGGTTATCGTCACATATATTTTGAGAGCAATTTGCTTTAGATTGTCATAGCTCTAAGTGATGTCTCTACTAACCTCTCCCTTGTTGGAAATATAGTGGGGGACACCAATCTTTGCTGTTGAAGGTCACTAAAGCTAATTTTACTTATGTTTGTCGCCAAGCCAACGTTGTTGTCCACTGTCTTGCCCGCTACGCTCTTCATGTTGGTAGACTTTTCTATTGGTTTGAGGAACCTCCCAATTTTATTGTAGATTTATTATTTCAAGATTATAGTAGGTCCTCTCTGTTATGGAGATTTGGCTGAAGTTCTTTCCCAACTCCTATTGTTGTACCTTGTTGACCTTCTTTGATGAAAAGTTTTTATCAAAAATTAGTTGATGATGTGATTCAACAAAAAACACTTAATTAAATAGTCATGTAGGGTCATGTGTGTTTTTATCGTATAAATTGATGAATTAATTATACAAGAACCACAAATGTGTGAGTTGAAACTTAGTGACGACAATTATCAATTTTGAAAATGAGAGACCAAAACCATGAGCTTTTGCCAATTTGGAGAATCATTTGCGAGAAAAACTCAAAAATAGAAAAAAAAAAAAAACAATAATAAAACCTACCTTTTAATCTTAAGCCCATTCTTCAAAATTGCAACTTCGAGTTTCGATTAGGCCCAAATCAAAACGCATCCACGTCAACTTCAACCCACCAGGATCCACCACCGGTGGAGAGTTGGTTGTTGGCATCACTCCACCAAAGCGCGCGTAAAGCACACACCTCAAACGGTCAAACCCCCATAGAAAAACTAGATATGATTCATATGAATGCCATGCAACCCTGTTCCGATCACTCCCTTCCCCCTCACTCAATCAATCACTGACCCACAAGGAGATGGAGAGGTCGTCGGCAATTGCGGTGGTTGTTGTAGCTTTCCTTATCGGCCTCTTGACCTCCGAAATCGCAGCAGAAATCGCCCAAAACTCGACCGAATTTTACAGAATCGGTCGCCGTCGTTCACCGCCGCAGTCTCTCTGTGCGCAGCTCATTGAACCGTCTGGTTACTCATGCTCCGAGCACACGGTGAGTACTATACCACTATTTCACTAAATATTGCCCACTTTGTATCTTTAATTGTTAAATTTGTGATTGAAGTGTGTAACTCTGAGTACCCAGATTGTTAAAATTCGTTGCTTCTGGTTTTTTGCTCAGATTCAAACGAAAGATGGGTACTTACTGGGTCTTCAACGCGTGTCGTCGCGAAGCGGGGATTTGAGAAGACAGCAGGGTCCTCCTGTGCTGCTTCAGCATGGGCTCTTCATGGTGAGACTGTTTAACAAATGCAAAATTTGACATTGAATTTACACTTTTAGTGACTATTATGTGAGACTGTTGATACAATCACTTGTGCAATAAAAGGGGAATAAACCCATGATTTTTTGCATGGATGTCACTTTCGATCATACATTTATAGGACCGATTATGGGGGAATAGCAATAGGTTTATGATATGATTGGTAATTGTATGACTTCCTTACATGTAGATCTAGCAAATGTTCAAGTGTAGCAAAAACGGGTGATTTGGAGCCGCATCTGCTGGACTGTTTATCTGAATTAGTATAAGTCGTGTTTGTTAGTGCATTTTCCGTTTGGTTCGAGATGTGCAGGATTGCTGAGATGATCCTCATAACTGATCCGTGAGTATTACTGATTCCCTGGACGCCTAAATTGGTGAAACGCCTAACTTTTATGGTTTCTTCCAATTTTTTTTCGGCAGACATCTGAACATATTGATCCACTAAGTTGATTATTTCAAAATTTGACCGTATAGTCACTTTTTGGTGCTCCCTCATCTCAAGTTTTTAGTTTCCGTTGAAATTTTATTTCTTGAAATGAACGAATGTGGTAAAGAGATGAACGTCCATGGTATACATTTTAAATGAGGCTCTAATGTGCTTCAAACTCAATTGAACTTGGTTACCGCCTTTTCTTGATCTTATGCTAATACTACCTAGTTTTGAATTTCAAACAGGCAGGTGATGCATGGTTCTTAAATTCTCCAGAAGAATCGCTAGGCTTTGTCCTTGCAGATGAAGGTTTTGATGTATGGGTAGGGAGTGTGCGTGGAACACGTTGGAGTCATGGACACGTATCTTTATCAGAAGAGGATAAGGTTTATATAGCTTCTATTCGTCTCACAATTTTTTTGTCTTTCATTCAGTGATAAGGTGTGGCTCCAGTTATTGGTGGTTTCCAATCGGCTGCTGATCAAACTCGTTCTATGTTGAAAGTCTGGATTGTCCCCCTGATATTCTGAAGGAAAAACATAATCACATATGAAAAGCAACCTCATTGTTCCTTCCTCACAGTTTCGTGCTTTGATAGATGACAACACTGAGTTAGAAAGAGGAATAGCTAAAACAGATTAAAGAAAATTACACTCAACGATAGGCTCCCTTTGCTAGGATATCAGTATTTTGTGCTACCTGTTTGCCTTGATAAAAGACATCTGTATTTAGGCTTTTTATTTCAAGAACTTGTCTTAATACACTCAACATAGCTTCATATGGGGGATTGGTAATGTGAGCCTACTTGAAAGTTAGCAGAAAAAGGAATGTTCATGTTCAGCAATTCGTAGCTTGCTTATCTGGAATCTGACAATACATGGATTTATTCTTTATTGTAGGAATTTTGGGATTGGAGTTGGCAGGAATTGGCTCTATTTGATCTATCAGAAATGATCCGCTACATATATTCAACAAGAAGCTCCAAAGTCTTTGTTGTTGGACATTCACAGGTCTTACATCTCTTCATCTACTTCAAACTTCCTTGCCTTGCTGCTACCTTTGGTGTTAACTCAATTTATTCATGTTGTCAGGGAACAATTATGTCTTTAGCTGCTCTCACCCAGCCGGATATCGCAGAACTGGTTGAAGCTGCCGCTCTTTTCTGTCCAATATCGTACTTGGAGCATATCACATCTAAATTTGCACTTAGAATGGTCAAAATGCATGTTGATCAGGTACTCATTATCTGCTTCAAGGTATAGTGCATGAATGGCTATTGTAATAAAATTGATACATATGTTCATATTTTTCAGATGATTCTTGCTATGGGCATCCATCAACTTAACTTTAGAAGGTTTTGTTGCACACTTTCCACCTTTTTTTTCCGCTAATATTCTTTTTGCTCAAATGTTATGAGGTTATTAGTATTAATCTTGTCGTCTTCTGTACATTATATGCAGTGAATGGGGAGTCAACCTTTTGGATTCAATATGTGATGGCCATGTTGACTGCAACGACTTGCTAACTTCCATAACAGGTTCGACTTCATATATATACTACTTCTTCCGTTCTTCCCTCCCTCCGTCTGTGTGCGTACGGGCGCATGCATGTGCTCTTGCATCTATTATATGCATTGTGCAGTGTCCATGTTCAAAAATTTGGAACTTTGGAGGAAAAATATTTTATTCTTTATGATATTGTTTATGTGACTGTATTTGTCTATTGGAGGAATGTCCTAATGATAATAATTCACAAAGTATGAATTACTATTAAAGGTGGAGTACAGGTTTTAAAAAAAAAAAACAAAAGTAGACATGATTAAATTTTGAGGAAGCACTTTGGCAGTGTATTATTAAGGACCCGTTTGGGAAAGCTTCTGTAGGAAATACTTTTGCTCACAAGTGCGTTAGCAGAAGCACAACAAATTTTTTTATATAAAAGTCTAACTGCTTCCTGTCAAAGCACTTGGAAGTAGTTCTCCAGAAAGCCCAAAAAGTGCTTTTAGAATCCAGAAACACTAATAGTTATTTCTTCCAAACACTGACAGAAATGCTTTGATCTGTAAGCGCTTTTGGCCTTTCAGAAAGCATTCGAGACAGCCTTATGATTGTGGTGCCGAACATTCTTGTAGATTACTATGTAAATGTTTTCATCTCATTTTGTATTTATTACTAAATTTGTACATGCAAAGCTTATCTGATAATATCTGGGGAAGAAGGGTTGCTAATGCGTTTTGGTAACATTTTCAGGGAAGAATTGTTGCTTTAATAACTCACGTGTGGACATGTATCTTGAATACGAACCACACCCAACATCTGCAAAGAACTTGCACCATCTCTTCCAGAGTAAGCTCTGTACCGCTTGTGCTTGCATTAATATCCTTTTGCCCCACACCCCCTCTCATTCTTTATTATTTTCATACACTGATTGTTGCATTTTGTGTTGGGCAGTGATCCGTAAGGGAACTTTTTCACAATACGACTATGGCCTGTTAAAAAATTTGAGGTTGTATGGTCAGTTGAAACCCCCTGCATTTGATCTTAGTCTGATACCCGAATCATTGCCACTGTTGATGGCTTGTGGGGGCAATGATGATTTAGCGGATATGACAGATTTCCGTCACACTCTCAAGGAATTGCGGTCCACTCCGGAGTTGCTTTATCTCGAGAATTATGGTCATATCGACTTCATTGTGAGCGTTAAGGCCAAAGAAGACCTCCATGACCCCGTGATTAGGTTTTTTAGGTCATGGGGAAAATCTAGTAGTTCTTAATGCGACTGCTTTCTGCGACATATAATCAATGTGTTTACGCATGCACTGCAGTAGAAATGTTGATGTGTATATATTGCATGTAGCATTATCTATGTAGAAAAATGTGTCCTGTATCTTATTAGGTTTATCTTTATTGTTTGTCTATTAAGGAGACAAGGGAGAAGAGGAGATAATTTCTCACTTCAAGATGGGCTTCTGCAAGTGCAATGGCAACTTCGGACTGGTGGCTCCAACCGGAAACGGAGGACAGTCGCATGAAATAAGGAACCATTTGTTGTATGGAATTTTAGTATATTACTATTAAATTATAATATTGGTTAAAGTGATGCGTTTATTTAACATTCATTAGCTCTTATTTTTTATAAAAGCAGCTTTAAGATACAATTTTCATTTGTTAAGTGGAATATGACAATTTAAATTTACAAAATAGCCCAAAAAATTAATATTTTTAAGCTTAAGAGTTCGAACTCTCCTTTTGCTATAGTCTAGGAGAGCCGTGTACCTGGCTCTGCCAGTGTAATGGATTGATGATTGGCTAATTCTACTGCTAGTTGACAATACGGGTGGGTGAATTCTATAAAAGAATTAACTTGGGTCCTCAATTTACTGCATGACCAATTCACAAAATTTTATATTTATATTTAAAATTATACATATTATAATTCACACTTAATAAAATTATGTGAATAAAAAATTTCTCCTCAGCCAAGTCTCTCTCTTCTAATACTATACGATGTTAGGTCGGCAATACATCAACAGTTAGAATTTGTCAACACTATTGATAGGAGCATATTTATGAGACTTATTATTTTATTTCTTTGCATTTACTTCGTTAATTTTCATTTATTTTGGTAGTTTATGTTATTTTTTGTATTATTGAAGGTCCAGTTGGTAAAGATGACAATAAATAGTCAAATGGAGCAATTTGGAATAGTTTTGGACTTGGATTGGATAGCATGCATGGATAACATATGGGTTGGACGTTTTTGGTGTTAAAATGGTGTTAGACATGTGCTAAACTCTGGAGAAATTAAAGTTGAGGCTTGGAAGACAAGGATTTATACAAGAAAAAGGAATCCTAGTTGGAGAGGAACCTTATCCAACCTTATCTTATCTTATTCAAACCTTATTCTACTTTATCTTATCTCTAGCTGCAAGGAGGAATCCTTATCACATTTCAACACTTCCTATGTGATTCTAGAAGTCCTAAAATAATTCAAACGACCTAATCATTTTTCACCCTGGGATTCAAATGTGCCTTTACCCTATATATACACATTGTTGTCGTAAATAAGAGGAGGGAATTGTGCCATAACCTGCAATCATTCATTGAAGTCGTTGGAGTTTTCTGGGTTCTTTCTCTCTTTGTTTTAATTTTCAATGTTTATTTTAGATTGTTTTTCAGTTATGATGAGCATGCATAACTAAGTTTCTTTTTAGCTAGAGATGAATTCGAAGCCATGATAATATGTTTTATATAAATTGATTGCATCCAATTATTGTTTTATAAAACATGAATTCGATTTACTTATCTGCTTTATAGAGAACTTATTCGTGTATGTTTATTAAGGGTGCACACTTAGTTTGCATGCAGGGATTTGATGCTAGAATATAAGGGAATTTCACCTAATTATTATGAACTTATATTTGTAAGTAATAAAAGTCACTAGTCATGATTGAGTTAAATAAATTCTTGGCAGAAGTATCATGCTTTTCATAGTTGTGAATGTTTTGTCAATGCTTACGATTTTCACAGAATTTAATGATCTTCAAGATGTCAATGCTTATGATTTTCACAGAATTTAATGATCTTCAAGATGTATCTCTATCATGCTTTTCATAGTTAGGGAACTTGAGAAAAATAATTTGGTTGCGTCACTGAGTCCAATTCAATGAACTTAGGAAAATCTGAGAGTTAATTAGTGTTGTTCACAATTAATTTAGGTCATTTTCATTCATGGTTTTTAAGAAGAATAACTGGAAATCGATTTGTATGCATATGATTCATATGTGGAGAAGAATCATTTAGCTGTCATCTCATCCATATTTCATTCACAACTTAATTTACTTGCTGCTATTTACTTTTGTTTTAATTAAATTCGTCCAAAATCCCCTCAGTCATTATTTTGTTTTTAGTTTAACTTAGTTTTTAGTTTTATAAGTTTAATTTGTGTTGATTAGCATCCATTCTAATCCCCGGAATAGAACGATCCCTACTTACTCATATTACGATTGCATAATTTATAAGGTTTAATTTGTGTGTTAGTTTTTACCACATCAAATTTTGACTATTGTGCTAGCACAGATTTTTTCCCGCGTTATTGACTTTTCAAACTCAGTCACCTTTCATCACCTACAAGTTTATTCATATTTGGGTTGTACTTATGGTTTAGGTTCATGAATGCGGTTGATTCTCTATGACACTTTCTGTGTACACGCAGTAGCTACCTACAATATACCACGTGGATCAATTACTACTCTTTGCAGAATCTGACATTGTAACAGAAATAAAACACACGATTTTTCAGAACACTACTTCCTGTCTTGTGTTCGAGAAATGCTGAAGAGATTCTTTCAAAATAGAACTTTCTTTGAACCATCTGCCATCTCATATAATGTGATAGTTGATAATTTAATTATTAATTAAATTTGTTAACATGGTCATTCTTATTGATAACACATCACATGATTTATAAATTTAATTTAAAAAGTGATTAATCTAACATTAGTAAACCATTTCTAATCATAGCTTATTATTATTATTATTTCTCATTGGTTGATCAAAACCCTGGATTTTCTTTTTCCTCTTCATGTGGTACAGATCCGCACGTATTTTTCTAAATTACTATATGGAAAGACCGATCAGATTTGGGTCCGAAATGATGTGGCATATCTCACAACATTAGTTTCAAGTTGACAATTAACCTAACAATACTTATTCAGAAGTGAAAACAAAATCTTTAAAAAATATATTTTGATATAGTCCAAAACTTGTTAGTTTACAACACCCACCACGACCACCACCACCACCTGAACTTCCATATATGCCGCCACCAACCACTCCGGCACGGTGGGAACTGGGAGTCATCTTTCTTTATCATTTTATGGATTTCATTGCGAAGATGTGCCAATTACCAACTTATGATATATTAACACTATGAATTCTCCAGCACATTCGTGTACAACGGCTCATTCTCTTTCAAAATTAAAGCAACATATCCATATTCTTATAAGGTCGGCAATATCTTTTGCAAACTTGGTACCAATATGGTTTTTCTTGGCAACCTATCAGAATGGTAGGTCCGTTGTGAATGGCAACCGTTATTTGCTGTAGCATGCAACTACACGTTAATGAGTACCAAGATATGGGTATTTGTTCATTAAGATATATGTAACGTTGGGAAGAGCATTGCGCGGATGGAACACAACCACCCAAAATAATTACGTAACGATAAGAGTAATATAAGACGAAGGCTGCTGTATAGACAAGTCCACTTTGTCTATGTGTGTGTATGTACTGTACATGTATCGCTGTCAACAGTACTAGACAAACAAAAGAAACACTTGTTCATTTGTTCTTCTCTTCCCCTTCGCTTTTTGTATCTTCTGACGAAATCTCCATCTCTGATTGTGGTCGCTCGTTTAATCTGTCGTCAATAACTCCCTCTTAGTATATTCGCACAACATATTTGTCTTCTCTATAATAATACACAAACTTAACAAGAACTTTGTTTGAGTGGGAAAAGTGAATTAGAAGAGAGCAAAATATGGGATCTCAAACTCCACTCCCTCATATTTTTCTTGTATGTTTTCCAGCACAAGGACACATAAACCCTATGCTCAGATTAGGCAAACGCCTAGCTTCAAAGGGCATGTTGGTAAGTTTCTCCACCACAGAAAACTATGGCAAAGAGATGAGAAAGGCCAACGATGGCATCAGTGACCAACCTACACCCGTCGGCAGTGGTTTCATCAGGTTTGAGTTTTTTGACGACGGGCTAGCGGAAGATGATCCGAAATTCTCCAGGTTGGACGAATATATACCTCTGCTTGAACTTGTGGGCAAGGATCTGGTAACACAGACGATCAAACGACATGCCAATGAAGGTCGTCCAGTTTCATGCCTGGTGAACAATCCGTTCATTCCTTGGGTTTGTGATGTTGCCACCGAGCTTGGGATCCCTCGTGCCACGCTTTGGATTCAGTCTTGTGCTGTGTTCTCGGCCTATTACCATTACCACAACAAGACGGTGCCGTTTCCGACAGAGGCTGAGCCGATTATCGATATCCAGCTTCCTGGTATGCCTGTTCTGAAGCATGATGAGATTCCCAGCTTCTTACTCCCTTCTGATCCATTTCAGGTGAATAACATATACCTACCAAAAAAGTCATCCTGCTATAATTATTGGTCTAGTTGTATTTCTTTATAAAAACGAAAAAGAAAAAAAAGAAATAGAAAGAAATTCTGAGCGAATCCATTTTTCAATAGAAAAAAAAATCATGGGCGTTGTATTCAAAAAACTCATTCTGCACTCCGATATGTCTGTTTGTATAATATTAGAGAAAAAAAATGAACGCAAGAGGACTGCAAAATAATTTTTTGAAGTATTAATAACGACGACCAAAATAATAATAAGATTACAACACTTTTGGTTTCACATTTGGAGAAGGCTTCGTTATACTTTTTAGTAAGTAAAGGTTTAAAACTGTGGCATTAATCGGTAATTAAAACTTAACAAATATATTAGGGCAACTTAGTACTATGGTTTTGTGGTATTCTTCTTCACTTGTAAGTGAGAGGTTTTAAGTTCGATTCTCACCAAAGGTGAATTTGAACCATATTATTGCTAGCTGCTCACCCTCTTTCCTTAGTGTACATAATATCATTTGTTAAAAAAAAAAGCCCATATTAGGGATATAACAGTAATTTAAATTGGTGTTTCTCTCTAATTAGTTTGCTGGAAGACATTTTATGTTCGAATACAAACCTCCACCGTTAAAAAATAAAGCAACCCTAATTATGACATTATGGACTAATTAATTTGTTTCAGGTTTTGGGGAGGGCAATATTAGGACAGTTCAAGAAGTTATCCAAATCACTCTATGTGTTGATGGACACATTCCAGGAGTTGGAGCCAGAAATAATTGAGCACATGTCCCAGGTGTGCATAGTGAAGCCCGTTGGTCCCTTGTTCAAAAACCCTAAAGCTCCAAAAACAAGCATCGGAGGTGACTTAATGAAAGCCGATGATTGCTTTGAGTGGCTTAACTCAAAGCCCCCAACATCTGTCGTGTACATATCTTTTGGTACCATCGTGTACTTAAAGCAAGAGCAAGTTGACGAGATTGCTCATGGCCTACTGAGTTCTGGGGTCTCGTTTTTATGGGTTATGAAGCCACCTGGCAAAGCATTCGGATGGGAAAAACATGTTTTGCCAGATGGGATTTTGGAAAAAGTTGGTGACAAGGGAAAAGTGGTGCAGTGGAGTCCACAAGAGCAAGTTCTAGCTCACCCATCGGTTGCATGTTTTCTTACTCACTGTGGCTGGAACTCTTCAGTCGAAGCACTAACTTCCGGCGTGCCACTTGTGACATTTCCTCAATGGGGCGACCAAGTCACCAATTCAAAGTTCTTGGTGGATGTGTTTGGTGTGGGGCTCAGATTGTGTCGTGGAAGAGCTGAAAATAGATTGATCACGAGAGACGAGGTTGAGAAGTGTTTGTTGGAGGCAACCGTGGGAGAGAAGGCAAACGAACTGAAGCAAAACGCTTTGAAATGGAAGAAGGCGGCAGAGGAAGCGGTGGCTGAGGGTGGCTCCTCTGACCGGAGTCTTGAAGATTTTATAGACGAGATTAGCAAGATCACGTATGTTGCTTAGAATAACTTTTTCTTAACGAACAATATTAGTATAATCTTTTCGAATTGTAAGTTATGATCGTTGATTATATCGCACTGCTTATTTCAATAGGAAGCCACTTAATCAAATACAAATATGAATTTAAGTTCAATGATGTTCTTTGTTTGAGCGATATATGTATGATTAAGCCGTGACATTCATGTGTGTGTTTCCCTCTCCCTTTATCTTTCTAACTTTATAGGGAAGAATTTGCTACAAAATGTTATTGATATTTTAGGGTTATTCACAACTAGAAATTACCAGTTGCACGATAAAGGTTTGCTCGACGAAAAAAACTTTGGTTCGGCAAACTTGGTCAACGTTTAGAATTTTGTCAAAGACTTTGAGCGATGAAAATATTTCATAGGGCAAAATATGTTTTGTTGGGCAATGTTTTGGTGCCAAAAGAAAAAATTGGCGCGCATTGTGTCATTTTACCCGATGAAATTCTAGTTCGTTGGCTTATGGAACTTCTCCCGACGAACCATTTCATTGGGCAACATGTACTAGCGGTTGAGAAAAGGTCCACAATGACTTGTAAATTAAAAACCCATCAACACTTTTTTTACTCCACGATGTTCTTAATTTTGCCTGACAAACTTTTTTGTTGTGCAAAGCCCCATTAAACGGGTCCGTGCCTTCTCTTTCTCCTTGTTCCTTCTTTTTTTCTTCTCCCTCGTGCCACGCTACTCTCTCCCTGCCTACAAGAGTCTATCTCTCTTTTGTAAGACATATTCTGAAATCATAACAAGACATTAGGATCATGAATATCACAAATTGAATCAATATAAAATAGGAATTTAGGAAATACATGACTTAGTTCAATATAATTAGTTCATGAATTTAGGAATTACATAGGTATATAAAAAAAATATCACAAACGTGTTTGCAGAATTCTAGCAACATGGTATGACTTTTAACATTTTACCATAAATTCATTTCTTTTCCAAAAAAAGGTGAAAAAAATACCAGTGTATACAATATATTCCATTTTACAACATGACCAAATTTCATACAATTTGGAATTGTGAAAGTCTATCAAAAATAGGATGTGTATCAGGCGCAGATTCTTGACATGAATGGTTTCCTTATCAAAATTACATCAGTTAAAAAAGGAACTATCGATTTCAAAAGGATTTTACAACATAGTTTAAAAAGAAAACCAAGAACCAATGATTTGTTCTTATAATCCATTGCACTAAATTACGAAGAGGATTCGAATGAAACGAAATTAAATACCACTTGGGTAAAACCCTAGAAAACCCAATTATAGAATTACCTTAAACTAATGATATCAAAACATAAAAGGAATTCATTAAATTGCAATACAAACACTACAAACACATAACCATATTAATCCATAGAATGATTTTTATTTGAGAGTTCGAAAACAATCTAAACTACGCAATATATACAAAAGCATAATTTAAATTAAATATCACCCAAGTTACCTCATGACGGTGAGCTATTCACCGGAAGATGGTAGAAAGAAAAATTGGAAGAATTGTAGGAGAAAAATGAGTAGTGTACGGATGTTTAAACAAATACATAGGTATTTATAGAGTTTTTGGGGTGAATTTTGAGTTAAATAACTTTTTTAATTATTTTAGCCGTTGGATTTAAATTTGGATCTTTAGTTTTTTTTTATCGTTAGATTTGATTATATTCGATTTCAGCCGTTAGATTTATTTCAATAAATATATAAATATAAAACTTAAAAAAAGTTTGAATGTCGACCATTGGATGAAGCAACGACCCAACTAATTGTGGCCACCAGATCATAAAAGAGCCATTGGGCTCAATTACCTATTAGACATCAAGACAGACAACCCTATGTGGATGGGCGATATACTTTGGGTTGGCCTAGCATGTGCAGCCTATGGTGCACGTCTGGGTTGGCAAATCCACTTTCCCTTTATCCAGTCTCGCATTTGGGCTACACCAAGTTTTTTGGGCTAAATCTTGGAGAGAATTTGAGGCTTTTTTTTTTTTTTTTTTTTTTTTTTTTTTTTTTTGTTTCAAGGTTTTAACACTTAACCCAATTTTAGAACAAGGGTTGAAAAGAAATGGGGGGAATAGAAGGGAAAATTTAGGATTTACTTCAGGTGTTGGAGTTGGTTAAAGGGGGTGGGAGTCTGTGCTAAGCCTCGATATAGACTAACCATAATAATGTGGTTTAAATTCACTTTTAGCAAGAATTGAACTTAATAACTCTTACATACAAGTGAAGAAGAATAAAAAAAATCCAAAAAAACAATAAAGGACTCCAAAAAATTAAAAAGAGAAAGAAAAACCAGAAACCTGGCCTGGTCTTTACCGTTACAAAAACCCGGTTACCGTCTACTCCCACAAAATATATAAATACAGTTTCTAATTTGCCGCGTCATTTGAATGATAAAATCCAAAATCCACCAACAGCTTCTCCAACACTCTTTCCTCCGTAGAAATGAGTTTGAATTCGTCTCGCTCCGCCGGCTCGTCCGGCCAGCGATCCAATTCCAAGCGGAGCTTCAATTCCAACTCTTCGAACAGTAACTCCAAGAAGAAGCAGCAGCAGATGGCGGCCAACCAGAAAACCCTAGGCGCCTCTTGGGGCGCCAATTCTCTCTCCTCCTCTCGCTCCTCCTTCAAAAAAGCTCCCTTCTCTGATTTCGGCAGGTACTTCTTTCTTCCTCTTTCGTTCATTGCCGTCAATTTTTGATTTTTGTTAAGAACTGCTTGGGAAATTGGATGAGATCAATAAAACCTAGTTTTGTTTAATTTTGCATTCAATTTTTGAATCTGTGTACTTGTTAGTAATTTGGAGTTATATTCTGATTGGTCTTTGTGAAATTGGGTGCAGTTACATGGTAGAGAAGAAAAGGAAACTTCATAATCAGTTCGGTACAGAAGCTTCAGTTTCTTCACACAGTGGTTCAAATACCGGAAATGATATTTTTCGCGGGGTTTCGATATTTGTAGATGGCTACACGGTTCCTCCCAATCAGGTTTGGCTGATTTCTTGTGATTTTCTGTTCGCCACTGTTGGCTGTTGAGAACGGATGTGATGTACAAGAAATAAAAAGAAAATGGAAAAGGAAAACTGAATCGCCAAGTTCATTACGTTCCATTTATAGCATTAACATTTGTTGCAACTTAGTAGTGGAGAATGTATAATTTGAGGTTCCTGGTTTTCCTCAATGATTCGTGGCAGCGATAGGGAGAGGAGTTGTTTCATTACTACATGTGGGTTTTCTTTGAGTTGATGACAATCTGTTTCAGGAACTGCGAGGCTACATGTTGAACTTCGGTGGAAAATATGAGAATTATTTTTCCAGACATCGTGTCACACATATCATTTGCAGTAATCTTCCTGACAGCAAAATTAAAAATTTGAGGTTCGTATGTTTTTAATTAGTTTCACATCAATAAAATCGTGAATATCGATATTTAATTACTCTCCAATAAGTTTCATGTACTGTTCCTGATCCTAATACAGGTCTTTTAGTGGAGGGCTCCCAGTGGTGAAACCCTCCTGGATATTAGATTCAGTTGCTGCTAACAAACTCTTGAGTTGTAAGTTCATGGGCCTTTTTCTCCTTTTGTCTGTTTTTTTTTTCTTTTTTCTTCTGTCTTATTTTTCTTAAAAGTTTTAATTTGGTCTTTTTTTTAATTGATGAAATTTAGGACTCAGCTAAGCGTTACTACCATGTACTGACTAATTGGGTTGTATCTTGATACATGGGATAATTATATTAAATGGTACAAAAAGTAGCAGTGTGAAATTGGATGAGGGGTATTTGATTGAAGGAATGTTTTGTGTTGGAGATTCTGACATGTTTCCCCTCAGTGTTATTGATCATGCCTTGGAGATGTCTACTTGCAGTCATTATTTTTTGTTTTTGAATGGGTGACATGAAGAACTATATATTTTCATGAATGGATAATTTAAAATTTTAACTGTGAGGGATTTTCATTTTCTCATTCCAGGGGTTCCTTACCAACTTGAACAGATTGCTTGCAACCAACCATTGCTGTCAGCCTTCTTTTCCCCAAAAGTAATCCCGGACTCTGGCGATCCTTTGGGAGATGCTGCTAATCAAGTAACATATGAAAGTGAGGTTACATTGCTGGTGGGAGCCATAGCGGAAGATGCTACTGGATCTGATGTGGGCAGATCCACAGAACATAGAGGGCAAATTAGTGGAGAATCTGATAACATTATGTTTGAGAACGACAATGGAGAACCTGGTCAGGTGCCATATGTAAGTAGTGAAAAAGATTGTGAAGTGCAAATTGCAGATATGACTACTTTGGACGCAGAAGTGCATGACAGTGTAAAAGATGAACTTCAGTGTAGTACCCACCAAACATCAGCTTCCGATTGCAGCTACCACTTGCCAAGCTCTTCAAATGTCGGGTCTAGTAGAAGTCATTCAACTCTTGGGGATTCCAATTTTGTGGAAAACTATTTTAAGGTACTGAACTGGATAGTAATTGTGTGCTTTCTCTACTAGTGCCACTTTTTTTCATCTTGATTTGTCCCATCAAGATTCTTAATTCCTATTCGTCTTAAAAATAAAAATGGTTTCATTAGTTTTCAAAAGCTATTTATGCCTTCACCACTTTTTTGTTTTTTCTTACGATGTCTTTGTTGAGAAGGTTATATACTTTCTATTGATACTTGTTGGCATACTCCATGACTCTTGTTGCATGCTCCTTGCATTGATTTTCTAGAAATTCAAATGTAATTGATCTTATGCCATTTTCAAAACCAATTATCCTGACAGTTGCCAATTGAAACTTCACAAGGTATCTTTTGGATGACCCATGGAATTTGTATATGGTGGGCAGTTTGGGCTTTGTGTTGAGATGATACTTGTATATTTGCTTGTACAGTTACATAACTTTCTGATGTTGAGTTATATCTTTTATGTGGTTCTAAACTTGTAATGGATGTTGTATAGCATACTAGTTAAACTTACTTGCATTTTTGTTTTATTTTCATGTTGTCTTTGGTTACTGCAGAGCTCAAGGCTGCACTTCATAGGAACATGGAGAAATCGGTATCGTAAACGTTTTCCGAGTTCCTTTAAAGGGTTTAAGAGCACAGAGCCTAATCTTAGTGCTTCAACGAGTTTTCAGAAGGCTGCCATTATACATATTGACATGGTACTTTCCAAATCCAAGGCTGTTAAACCTGAATTTTGATTATTATGTCCTTATACTTGTCTGGTAATTACTGGTCTCCCTGTGTTATCAGCCAACCAGATGGGCATCCCTTGTGTGTTATAAATTTTGATTTTCATTGGCCATGCTATCTGTTGACAACTCATCACTGTCATCTTCTCCACTATTGGCCGCAGATACCATTATTACCAAGACGACTGTCATTCTTAAATCTTGTACTTTAAATTCTCATCTCCAACACCAAAGTCATTTTTTTCCAAACCCTTTCTAAGTTTTAACCTCTATCTTAAGGGCCAAGTTTGAAAATACATGATTCCTATAATTTCATTTAATCCCTAGGGATGTTATTGATGGATTAGTTAGAGGTGTAAAGTTGATTGGTCTTATATATAATAAGCAATATGAATATCTTGGAAGAGATGAAGTTTTCTGTACAACTGAGAATGTAACTGAGATGAACAATGTGCTGTTGTAGGACTGTTTTTTCGTGTCAGTGGTCATCAGGAAACGTCCTGAGTTTAAGGATAGGCCTGTAGCTGTATGCCATTCTGATAATCCAAAGGGAACTGCTGAAATTTCATCTGCAAACTACCCTGCTCGAAATTATGGTTGGTTTTGGTGACATGTGTTTATAGCAGGTTTTTACCTTTTTAATTTTATTTTGTCTTGGGAGGTTATATTTTGTATTTAATAGTTTTATTTCTAACTTGCAGGAGTGAAGGCTGGGATGTTTGTTAGAGATGCCAAGGCTATTTGTCCAAACCTTGTCATTATTCCATATGATTTTGAAGCTTATGAGGAGGTATGTTTCTGGAAGATTCTCATTGCTTTGTCTCAGATACGTTTTTACAGAGACATTCTGTCATTTGTTTACTGTATCTTACCTTGTCGACTGGAATTCTATAAGCTATATGATCTGCTTTGTAGGCAGCTGATCAGTTCTATGACATCTTGCATAAGCACTGCAATAAAGTACAGGTATGTTTGCTTGTGGAAGTTAATTCTTAAAGTACATTAAGTTTTTTGTTGCCTTTGTGTTAATGTGTTAATATTGAAGTTTTTGAATTTAGGCAGTAAGCTGTGATGAAGCATTTTTAGATGTCACAGATGTGGAAGGGGTAGATCCTGAGGTGTTAGCTTCAATTGTAAGAAAAGAGATCTTTGAGACAACTGGATGCTCTGCAAGTGCTGGCATAGCCATAAATATGCTTATGGCTCGCCTTGCCACTAAAACTGCTAAGCCGGATGGTCAATGCTATATTCCTACCGAAAAGGTGTGCTCTTTCTTCTATTCTTTTGTGTTGTTGGCTTCATATTAAAAACCAATGTATTTTTTTCCTTCGAATGTCATATATATGTGATTATGGTATCTAGCCAACACATCAAATGAAATTTTGAATGCAAAGTATGTGGAAACCTGTTTTGTTATGAACTCTCTTTGCATTTCAATCCACTTAAGTATACTGGGAAAAAGGTGGCGTAAGGCATGAATGATGTGTATAAGTGAGGTTAAGTTTTTATAGGGGGTGGGGGTGTTGCATTGATTAACTTTTTCACTACAACTTTCTGGTTTTTTGGATATAAATGACAGGCAAGGTATTTTCCCTTGCTCATGTCTGTGATGGTTTTGTTTTGTCAATTTATTTTGACTTTCTAGTGATTGTAGTAGTTTATTAATGTTGTAACTTGTAACTGCATTACTACAAACGTAGATATTCTTTTTCTTTTCTATATTTATATGTGTATAAGGAAGACTGTAGACTCCTAGTCATTTAATTCGTGTATTAAACATACACGCATCAGTCACAAACCCTTGAATGTTTATGTAGCTCTTTAACTTTTCATTTTGTGTTGGTGAAAAAAGTAAGGAGGACTTAGATGCTATGTAACTTTTAATACTAAGTTGGAACAGTGATTTTTCTTTTTAACTTATGAACTTTTGTATTGAATTTCAAATGACTATCAGCTTGTAATATGGATTATGGACATGTCATGGAATGCTCTTTGCTGTACACACTTACATTGTTTTTTAGTACATCAGGTGGATGAGTATTTACATCAACTTCCTATCAAGGAACTTCCAGGAATAGGACACACTTTAGAGCAGAAGTTGAAGAAACAACATGTTCAGACGTGTGGACAGTTGCGTATGATTTCAAAGGTTTATTTATTTATTTTTTATCTGGGTCTTGATTTTCTTTCTTCATGTACTGAGATGGTTAAGTTGTACATTATCAGGAGTAGTTTGCAATATTTAATCAACTTTTCTGAGATGAGAAGACCATGATCTCAATGGCTTTAGTTAAACTTATGCTCGATGTTTTGTTTGTTTTCGAAGTAGAGAAAATTATATGAAAATGGTTATGGAGACAGCTACGTATACTGTATAAATGGAAGTAATAACTTTCTGAAGGGCAAAGCTTAGAAAACTTATCATGGACAACACATCAGCGAGTGACAACTTATCATTGACTGTTATTTTTAAGAGATTTATGATGACAATAAGTTGCTGAGTTGTCTGTTAATGTGGTCTATTTGATGTGATATTCTACAACACTTTCCATTGGTTAGTCATTATTCAAATTCCTTAACTTATAGAAAAATAAGTTGCAACTTGGTTGTATTAACATTAGAGATGTTCAGATGTTAATTATGTCTTATTTTCTTGTTCAGGACTCTCTTCAAAAGAACTTTGGGATGAAAACTGGGGAGATGTTGTGGAATCATAGTAGGGGCATTGATAACCGGCTAGTTGGGGTGATTCAGGTTTGGAAAAGAACATACCTTCTTTACTTTGAGATCATCTGCTGAATTTCTATGTTTATATTTCACATATCTTGTAGTCTTTCCAACTCTCCTCTTTTCTATAGAATTCCCCATTGCAGTTGTGCTTTTCCATACTGGCTGCTGTCCGATTGTTTTGGTGCTTTTTTTCTTTGTTGCATGCTACTTATCAAAATAATTCCTTTTAAAGTTCATAATTTCCTGGAACTTAAGTAGCTCTATGATCAATTGTAATTTGTTCTTACTTAACACCTGAAGTAATTCTGAATGACGTAATAATATGAATATGATTAATTTGCAAAAGTGTGGGAAAGACGCAATCATGTATTTGATAATTCTATATTGTAATTTGTAATCGACAAGTATGGTTGATAATTCTATATGTAATAGTTGTTTTTAGTATCACTTGGTAGGTTGCACAGGCTAACACAACTATGCATAAGTAGATGTCGAGTGATTTCTTTGGAACCTAATTTTGTGGACCGTAGATACTTTGAAATCCTCCGGTGCGGAAGAGGGAGGATGACCATGTTAAGCTTCGCATTATTTATAGAAGTGCACTGTTTCACACTACAATTTTATACAGCGAGGAAATTCTTGTCCCAATGTTCTCTCTAACTTTAAACATGCTTTTTTTGGTGTGTTTTGACCATTATACCATCATTGCTTACGTGTGGTTTTGCGCAGGATAGCAAGTCTATTGGTGCTGAAGTGAATTGGGGCGTGAGGTTCAAGGATTTGAAAGATGTCGGTAGTCTGTTAAACTGTTTAGAAGGGAACTATTATTGACATTCTAAATATCTAATTGTGCATTCCTCATACGAGTATTTTTCTTTCTAAATATAGAAAGTTTGAGTGCACCTTTAGATTTTCGGAGTGCCAATAACAATTCCCTTCTTAAAATATCTATTAACATGACTTTTATATGTTAGCAGGTAAAGAGTTGACCGTTTATTTTTTTTTTTTCAGAGTCAACACTTCCTCTCAAGTCTCTGCAAAGAGGTGTCTTTACGCTTGCAAGGATGTGGGGTGCTGGGCCGTACTTTTACCCTTAAGGTGTATTTCTTCTCTGAAGTTTATTAGTCCAAAATTGGGTTGCGGGGTTGAATGGGCATTGTTTTGTGTGTGTCTTTCTTTATCTATGGATTAGTGTGTCTTGGTGATATTGTGTTCTCTGAACCAAGTTTGACATTGGTCTACTTATTTTATATTGTTCTAGATTAAAAAAAGATGTAAAGATGCAGGGGAGCCAGTGAAGTATATGGGCTGCGGAGAATGTGAAAACTTGAGCCACTCTGTAACGGTATCGACATATACACTATTTACCTTCCATAAATAATCACATATGTGCAAGTAGCAGGCATGCAAGCATGTTTGCATGTTTATGTAAGAATTGTTGTATAATGCACCATATTACAGTGTTGTGCTTTTTGGGCCCAATATCTAAGTTGTTTAAACATTAGGTTCCAGCTGCTACTGATGATGTGGAAGTTCTTCAAAGAATAGCGAATCAGCTCTTTGGGTCTTTCTCTATAGGTAAATTTACTCCGTAAAATATTCATGTTTTCATATGGATGGAAGAAATCCTAGGAAAGCACAGTGAAGAGAATTTCATGTAATTTTGTGTTTGATGTAGTCGTCATCAACTTGGGTTTTTGTTTTGTAGGTTTATTACTTATTTTGGCTGTATCTAAAGAATGACGTAAGAGGAGAATGTTAATTAGAATTACCTTCGCAATAGTGCTGGTGATGAGTTTTAGGGGCAATGGGATTTGCATGGCTATAACAGCTATAGAATTCAGACAAAATCAAAGAAAAATGCACATATCTTAGTTTCAAAATATAACTGGCCTATGGTTGGAGATAATTTTTATGCACAAGTGATAACTTCGTTTCAATCCCTTGATTGCTTGTACACAGATGTTAAGGAGATCCGTGGTATTGGCTTGCAAGTTTCCAAGCTTGAGAGCACAGACACTCCAAAGCAAGGTGCAGATTACATTCAATTTGTTTTCAATCATTAAATTTTATATGTTGCGTCTCTGGGCTATACAGGAAGTGTCCTATATTTTTTTTAATTATTGTCTTGACCTCTCTCCTGACTTGTTTTTGAAGGATTTGGCACAAAATCTTTAAAGTCGTGGCTCACATCAGCCTCAAGGAGTACCGAAAAGAAATCTAATTTTCATTCTATATCTAGGGTGAAGGTGAATGTAGGTAATATATATTTATTTTTCAGCTACAGTTTATTCTCCACATTTTGTTCTGTTATTAGTAGAAAAACTACTTTTGTGAATAAAATATTTACAGATTTCACAGCGGATTATCTTACAGATTGTGAGGATCGGAGAATTGGTGGAACTTCAGGCCTGGTTGGCAACGATTCACTTGGTATTCAAACTCCAGTGCTCAATAGTCTGTCTAGTGGTGAACCTTCTCTGGACCAGGTTTCTGAGCCACCACCTTTATGTCATCTTGATTTGGGAGTTATTGAGAGTCTTCCTCCAGAATTATTTACGGAACTAAATGGAATCTATGGTGGGAAGTTAGTTGATTATGTTGCTAAAAATAAACGAGAAAATTCCAGTTCTACTGTACCACATGAACAAGTACACGGTAATGTTTTTTCCATAACTGTCTATTAATTGCAAACTCCATTATATTTCACTAGTCCTGAATTCCTAATGTACATAATGGCCTTGTCTACTTAGGTGCAAGGATTGGGATTGAGATACCACTCGTTAATGATGTGGTCCCCAAGAACGAAACATCAGTAGAAATCAGGGTAAATTTTCTGTTCGAACTTTTTCTCTTTCTTCTACAGTTCTATTTTGCCAATGCTTCATATATTCAGCAAGTATCATTCATCAGAATTACGTAAAAGAAACCTTCTCTGCTGGACTTCAGATTAACTATAAGTTGACTTTCTCTTTTACTAGCAATCTAGCTGTTTGCTCAGTTTCCATAATAATAGCTTTCGGTGATATGGCTGTAGTTGTGATGCAGTGTTAAGTTTAGATAACATTCCTGCCTTGTTTTGGACAGTACTAAATCAAGTTGTGGTTGGATTTTGAACTTTTTTATATAAGAATCCCTGTGTTTTTTTTTCGTCTGTTGCAAATGTTAAATGAAGGTTCAGTTGGTCTATCTTGTTCTTACGCCCCTTCTTTCGATGCCTATGTTTTTATTCCAGAAAAAATATATTGTTATTGAGAATCTTTTGTTCTAGTTGTCTATTGTATGTCCACGTTTTAGACTTCCTTGGTTATATAATTGGTATCTCTCCTCATGTGATATAGCATACAATAGTAGAAAAAGAAGCAATTCCTTCTGCTGTGGTGGGAGGGAACCATCATGTGGAAGTTTCTACATCAGGTCTTGGAAACACTGATATAATGCCGTCATCTTTAAGTCAAATAGATACCTCAGTGTTGCAACAGTTGCCTCAAGAACTGAGAGTTGACATACTCGGGCAGCTTCCTGCACACAGGAAAAATGACGTATCTTCAAGTGCTTCCTTGGGCCCTCCTGCAGAAAAGCCTCCGGAATTATTAGGTCCAAGTAACAAGGATCATTCGGGACCAAGTGATCCTGCTTTGAACCACAAACTTTGGATTGGAAGTCCTCCTGGGTGGGTTGATGAGTTCAAATCCAGCAAGTGCATGGTGTTAAATGTTTTTGCTGAGTTGTATTACAAATCAGGGTCAAGTCAAAATTTATCCACCATTCTCCGAAATACTATTTTGGAATCTCAACATCCTCCGGATCCAAGTTCTGACAGCTGGATCGAAGCTGTGTACAGCTTCTCTGAGCTTCTCAGGGAGTATATTAACTTAAAGATTGACTCAGATATTGAAGAGATCTATGTTTGTTTTCGTCTTCTTAGAAGGTAAATATAGATGCCGATTGAGATCTATGTTTGTTTGCGACCTGTTTCTGCTTGCTTTTTATATTTTTGAATGCTAATTAGTTACTTCTAACTGATTGGAGTTTATATGTTCTATCAGGTTTACAATGAAATCAAAATTGTTCTTACAAGTATACAACGATGTCTTTCCTTACCTTCAGGTGAGTAGTTATGTTTACTTTTTGTAGTGCATTTATGGAAACGATCAAATCTTTACTGTAGAGTCAAATATAATAATTTCTTATACCCAAAGTCCATGTGTTTCCAAAATCAAAATTCTCAATATCTGTTTTCCTATGACAGTAGCATGTGCATACAGATAACATTCTTCTCTGATAAATACTAGGGCTGCCACCCCTACCTAGCATGAGCTAGAAGTTCAGACTAAAGAAAAAACACTAGCCAACTGAAGTAATTTTTTTGTATTTGACATGATGGATGCGACTAATTTCTTCATGTACTGCATTTTTAATCTGTTTAATATTGTCAGACCTATGATTTTCCTTATCATCCAGCTCGTGGTTTATTGAGTTTTCGCTGTTAAGTATTATGATCCACTATTTTCATGTGTTAATCTTTCCTGTGTTCTGCTCATTCTTCCTCACAGTTGTCTTGATTTAATCTTTATAGGCATCTGTCGCTGAGAGTTATGGAGGAAACTTGCGCATATAGCTAGACTTGTGCTTCTTGTCATTTGACTACACATTGTGCTGAATTTAACATCTAAGGAGCATAACCTGTCATTTCTCAGCAAGGCGTACCTTGTAAAGTTGTAATCATAAGTTCGACACCCATTAGTTAGGTATTCACATCCGTTTTCCATCAACACAGGTGAGAATGCATTCCTGTTGCTTCAAAGCTTGAGTAACATGTTTCTGAGGATTGTTTACGTCATTGATACTCGTATTAACTTGATTCTGTGATTAACATATGACCTTGGTAATTTACGTGTGGTCACAACAGGATGTGAGATTACGGTGATGAAACATTGTGAAGGGCCTCGATCCAAAGATTTTGGGAAGAGAGAAGGAGAAGGAAGAAGCTTAATGAAAGAATCTATCTCCATTGGGCCTTCGTTCCCTACACTATGGTAATTGGCCTTAAATTTAGGGCTGGCAGATTAGCACCAGCAATTTTGGTACACAATGACAATATACAGTAACATCGAAGAGTAGTGCTTGATGGACCGCAAATTCTCAGACGGACAACGCTTCCCTCCTCAAGAGCGATTGAGTTCGTGAAAGATTTGCAGAGGCAAAGTAAAAGGATTCCATGATGAGCTTGAACAGAAACTCAAATGATGGAGCTCCTGCATAAGGTTTAGGTATATGGTGGCGGAGCTACAATGAGCTCAATAAAGTGAATCGATTTTGATACTTTGTTCTTGTTAATTTACAAATATAAGTAAATATGCATATATGGACATAGTTATATTGCCGAGCAAATGTGTTTTCTCATGCACTTAAGTTTAAATTTCCTCCCTCCTGCATTTTAGATTGATTTTTCTTTTTATCACAAGGGTTGAATTTCATTAATAAAGTGATGGATAGAAGAGAAAAGAGTGTGGCCTCATTAAAACCTTGCCATAACAAACCCCATGAAGATGAAAATCTTGCAATTTTCCCATTTTTATGCGTAATTAAACGCAAGGAAAAGTTAAAGAGTGAAATAGTTCTCTTACTTATATTTTAGTAAATGCATGTCAAGAAATCAAAATAATTCTAATTTCTATTAATGGGAGTGGGAGAATCAAACGTCACATTTCAAATGCATGTATATATATATTCTTACCTATTTTATAAAATGACGTACGCTTGCAATATGAATTGGTTATCTTTGTTTTATCAATAAAAGACTCGTATGGAAGTATTTATTTTTAGGTTCCAAAAGTGTTTGAAGTGCACTACAACTTCTCCCCATGATTTTTAATTTTTTTTAAATAATCAGACAGTTACACTAAATTCATTTAAACTTTGGAGATGACGATCCAAACTGGAATGCATTAAATAGTTTATAGCTTAGCTAAACTCATATACGCTTCTTCCCATAGTTTATAGCTTTATAACATTTTGAGTTTGAAAAATGCAATTGGTCAAATCCAAAACAAAGGAGAATGCAGTGGCACCTTTGGTGCCACCCAAAAGGAATCACCTTTCTGTTAGAAATTGGTATAGAATCCGAGAAGGATCCCTAACTGGTGTGGAAGTTCTAATTGTAATAGGTATGGGAAACTTGGACGCAAGTTTTCAGATAGGTTTAGAATTCCAACTCAGTTTAGGATTAGGTTTTTGAGTTAGTATAAAAGGTTCCTTAACGTTAGGGTACAAAGTGTGGATAAAGTGTGTGAGAGACTTATGAGACAAGAAACTATCTTGTGTGTGTCTTTTCGTGTATTCCTTTATATCAATAAGAAAGGTGTGCTTCCGTTGTTCAGTTTTGTGTTGTTGATTTGGTTTGATCGAAGTATAAGTATAACAAGTGGTATCGAGAGCCATTAGGTTGCGTGGTCAAATCAAAACGATGACGAAAACTGAAAGTGGAGATGATAGGGGTACTGAGGTAACCAAGACTTCGGTACAAAGTGCTCGGTTTGAGATCGAGAAATTCATTGGGACAAATAACTTCGCTATGTGGCAGTGCGAAGTAAAGGATGTACTGATTCAACAAGGTTTACTGATGGTGCTTGAAGACATGCCTATAACAATGAAGAAGGAGGAATGGCAGCGGCTGAATGCACATGCATGTTCCACGATCAGACTATGTCTTGGAAAAGCACAAAAATATGGTGTAATGAATATCTCATCAGCTAGAGATCTATGGGATACGTTGGAATCAAAGTACCTGAAGAAGAGTGCAGAAAACAGGCTTTATCTTAAGAGTAAATTGTATCGGTTTCAATACAAGGAAGGAACTAAGATGATTGATCATCTTGAAGAATTTAACAAGATGATTGCTGAACTTCTGAACCTAGAAGAGACAATCAAAGATGAAGATAAAGCGTTGATTCTGATGAATTCCCTACCTGAATCTTACGAGTCGTTTGTTACGACATGGATTTATGGTAGAGAAACTCTTAAGTTTGATGAAATCTCAAGTGCAGTGATGAATCATGAAGTCCGCAATTTAGACAGACAAGAGAGAAACAATTCCGAAGCACTAATGGTAAGGGGAAGATCAAAGGAAAGAAGACCAGCAACTAAGAAGAAAAGCAAGTCTCGTTCGAGAGGTACCTCAAGCAACAGAAAGTTTCTCGATAAAGATGAGTGCGCCTTCTGTCATGAGAAAGGGCACTGGAAAAAGGATTGTCCCAAAATCAAAGCCAAGAACAAAGAGAAGAAATATGAAGACTCAGAGGCAAACATTGTCGAGGCTGACAATGAAGATTTCGTCTGTGCCCTAACTGCATCAGACGGAATAAATTATATGAATCACTGGGTGCTTGATACTGGATGCACGCATCATATGACCTCTCAACGTCATTGGTTTTCTTCGTTCAAGACTCTCACTGGAATGGTATATATGGGGGATGATAATCCATGTGCAACAAAAGGAATTGGTAGTGTGAAAATCCGACACCATGATGGTGTAGTCCGAGAGCTACAAGGGGTGAGATATGTCCCAAATCTTAAGAAGAATTTAATCTCGCTTGGAACTCTTGAAGATCAAGGTTGTAAATTCTACTCAGAAAAACAAACATTGAAGGTTGCAAGAGGAGCATTAGTGTTAATGAAAGCTCCAAGAAGAGGGTTGCTTTATTTGTTAGAAGGCACCACTATTGAATCTCCGATGGCTATGGCAGCAGCAAGTGATCAATCCGATGCATCCTGTCTATGGCATATGAGGCTAGGGCACGTGGGAAACAAGGCATTGCAAGGACTTATTAAACAAGGGGTCCTAGAGGGAGCCAAAAGTGGGAAGATCGACTTTTGCGAACATTGCATCCTTGGCAAACAAACCAAAGTAAGTTTTGGCACAGCAATACATCAAACGGAGGGAATCCTGGATTATGTACACTCAGATGTCTGGGGGCCTGCAAAGAATGAATCCCTAGGAGGAAAGAGATGGTTCGTATCCTTCATTGATGATTATTCACGAAGAGCATGGATTTATATGATGAAGCACAAACATGAGGTGCTGGATATTTTCTTAGAATGGAAAACCACAGTCGAAAGGAAGACCGGAAAAAAATTGAAAGTCTTAAGAAGTGATAATGGGGGAGAGTATACGCCTGATCCCTTCTTTGAAGCCTGCAAAAAGGAAGGTATAACACGACATTTCAGTGTTAGAGAAACTCCCCAGCATAACGGAATTGCAGAACGGTTGAATCGAACACTGTTAGAAAAGGTCAGATGCATGCTGTCACAAGCAAAACTGCATAAACGTTTTTGGGCAGAAGCATTGAGCTATGCATGTCACATCCTAAACCGTCTTCCTTCTTCAGCTTTAAACGGAAAGACTCCAATGGAAGTATGGTCAGGACAAATTGCTCAAGATTATGACAGACTAAGGGTATTCGGGTGTGATGCTTATTACCATGTTAGAGAAAATAAATTAGATCCGAGAGCAAGGAAGGCTATCTTCCTAGGGTTTAACAGTGGCGTCAAGGGATTCAGATTATGGAGTACAGAACTCAAGAAGATTGTAATAAGCAGAAATGTGACGTTTAATGAAACCCATATGCAACTAAGAGAAGATCGAAAGATTGTGCAAGAGGTGGAGCTAGCAAAAGAACTAACTGAATATTCAAGAGATGAAGACAAACTCGACAATGAAAGTCATATCAGTGTCGATCAAGAAGAAGAACAAGAAGAGGATAGTATGATTAATGATGTACCAGATCAAGATGATTGTATCGCCAAGAGAAAAGGAAAAAGAGAGGTTGGGCTTCCTGCTAAATTCAAAGATTGCGTCTCCTGTATAGCCTATGCATTGCCTGTAATCGAGGTAGACATCCCTACAGATTTCACAGAAGCATCAAGGAGTAAAGAAGCTAAAAATTGGCATGAAGCTATGGATGATGAGATGTTGTCACTAAAGAAGAACAGAACTTGGGATCTGGTGGAGCTACCTAAGGGAAGAAAGGCCATTGGATGCAAATGGGTGTATGCAAAGAAAGATGGAATAAATAATGCAAGTTCATTAAGGTTTAAAGCCAGATTAGTAGCAAAAGGCTACGCTCAGAAAGAGGGAATAGATTACAATGAAATCTTCTCTCCCGTGGTGAAACATTCATCCATTCGAATCCTCCTAGCACTGGTGGCACAGTTCGATCTCGAATTAGTACAATTGGACGTAAAAACTGCGTTTCTGCATGGAAATTTGGCTGAAGAAATTTACATATGTCAACCAGAAGGATACGAAGAGAAAGGAAAGGAGAATCTAGTATGCAAGCTCAACAAATCTCTATATGGTTTGAAGCAATCTCCGAGGCAATGGTACTTAAGGTTCGACAAGTTTATGAAGGACTTTGGCTACACTAGGAGCCAATACGATCACTGTGTATATCACAAGAAAACGAGGAAAGGTATATATGCATATTTACTGATTTATGTAGATGATATGCTCATTGCCTCTAGTGATCAAACAGAAATCTCAGAACTCAAAACTCAGATGCAAAATGAGTTTGAGATGAAAGACCTTGGCGAAGCAAAGAAAATTTTGGGGATGGAAATCACACGGGATAGAAAGAAAGGGCTGGTGTGTTTATCACAGAAACAGTATGTGGAGAAATTGCTACACAAGTTTGGCATCCGTGATGAAACCAAACCCGTAAGTACACCTCTGGCATCTCACTTCAAGATGAGCACGCAGTTGTGCCCTAAAACTGATGAAGAAAGGACTAAGATGAAGGACGTTCCTTATTCTAGTTTGGTTGGAGGGTTGATGTATGCCATGGTGTGTACTCGACCTGATATTGCTCATGCAGTTGGATTAGTAAGCAGATTTATGCATAACCCTGGAAAAATGCATTGGGAAGCTGCTCGATGGATACTGCGATACTTGCATGGAACAAGGAGCACGGGAATTTGCTTTGAGCGGAATGATAAAGGAATCGAGAAGTTTTCTATTGGATATGTAGATTCTGATTTTGCTAGTGACTTAGACAAACGAAGATCTACCACAGGATATGTGTTTACCATGGCAAATGGCCCTATATGTTGGAGATCAATTCTACAACCGACGGTTGCTTTATCAACTACAGAAGCAGAATATATGGCAATGGCAGAAGCAATTAAGGAAGCCATTTGGACACTGGGATTAATAGCAGATTTGGGAGTTAAGCAGCGCAAGATAGATGTGCATTGTGACAGTCAAAGTGCTATTTACTTGGCGAAGTATCAAGTGCATCATGCAAGAACCAAACATATAGATGTAAGATATCATTTTGTTCGAGAGATTATAGCTGAAGGCGAGATTCTCGTAACGAAAATCGCTTCAGCTGATAATCCTGCAGACA